ACGGGGGGGGGACACCAGCCCTGGGGAGGGGTCCTGCCCCGGTGGGACCACACTGGTGGGGGACACCAGCCCTGGGGAGGGGTCCTGCCCCGGTGGGACCACACTGGTGGAGGATGCCGGCCGTTGGCACTGGGCTCTCTGTGTGGCCACCCTGGGGGGGAGGATGCCCTCCACTGAACTAGGGCTCTGGTCTCCTCCAGACAGATATGGACAGCGACCTGGTAGGAGACATCTGTGACACCAACGAGGACAGGTAGGGACTGCGCTGCTGTGGGGTCACCTCCCCTGTCCTGTCCCGTCCTCGTCCCTGAGGGCAGAGATGTGTTCCCAGCTTGGGAGCCCAGGCGAGGGGACGATGGGGGTTTTTGGGGTCAGTAAAGGTGCCGGGACGCAGTGCCGGGTCCCCCATTTGTGGCGCCGCTCTGATCCCGTTCTTGCTCCCAGCGATGGGGATGGGCATCAGGACACCAAGGACAACTGCGCCGAGATCCCCAACAGCTCCCAGCTGGACTCGGACAACGACGGGCTGGGGGATGACTGTGACAATGACGATGACAACGATGGCATCCCTGACTACACGGCACCTGGCCCAGACAACTGCCGCCTCATCCCCAACCCCAACCAGAAGGACTCGGACGGTGAGCGCGGGGTGGGGAGGAGGAGGCAGAGCTGCCTGGGCTCGGCCCGGCCCTGACCGGGGTGCGTGTCCCCAGGGAACGGCGTGGGCGACGTGTGCGAGGAGGACTTTGACAACGACACGGTGGTGGATCAGCTGGATGTGTGTCCTGAGAGCGCCGAGGTGACGCTGACCGACTTCCGCGCCTACCAGACCGTCATCCTCGACCCCGAGGGGGATGCCCAGATCGATCCCAACTGGGTTGTCCTCAACCAGGTGTGCGTGCTGCCCCCCATGTTTCTGGGGACTGCGCTGCTGGGGTGGGAGCAGAGGGGGACCGGGAGGTCCCCGGGGGCTGCTGGGGATGCCCCTGACCCAGCTGTCCCCTGCAGGGCATGGAGATCGTGCAGACCATGAACAGCGACCCGGGCTTGGCTGTTGGTAAGAGATGCTCTTCCACCTGCAGACCCCGTGGGGCAGCCCCCCAACCCCTGTCCCCCTGTGCTGGGGGGTGAGGGCACGTTCTTTGCCCCGCGAAGGGGTGAAGGGTGGGCTGGAGGGAGCCGGGGTGTGGGGTCCCGTGCTGGGGGGGGGGGG